GACAGCCTTCATCTGAGTCTGGAGAGTCCCAAAATCCTATCTTGGCTGACCAGGGTCCCCAGTGAACTGAAGTGGGGTAGTCTGGGAACAGCTTGGAACTGCTTGGAAATCCCAAGTCTGAAAAGTGAAGTGTGTGGCGCGAGAGCCTATCTACCACAGCGTCCTTGGGAGTCAGTGGGGTCAGTCCATCCTCCCTGGCGGCATCACCTCCAGATCAGGCTGCAGGGGCCCTGCCTTGCTTTAGAACACCCCAGACATCTCAAACGCCGAAACACAAAAGAACTGTGTTTTTGTCTTTTTTGTCTCTTAAGAAAATATTTTGAAAGTCTGGTAACTGATTTGTGAGTAGACCTTGATTGGAGAGAGATGATGTATTGATACCCCAGGGGATTGGGAGGTTGGCGAGAAGAAAAAGAATAGCCTGTGTTCTGGGAAACCAGAGATAAAGTTTTGAAATTTGGCTTTCCCAAACCATCTAAAGTGGGTGCCTCGGCTGACCAGGCTCCCCAGTGAACTGAAGTGGGGTAGTCTGGGAGCAGCATATAACTGCTTGGAAATCCCGAGTCTGAAAAGCGAGGTGTGTGATGGGAGAGCCTAACTACCACAGCGTCCTTGGTTGTTAGTGGGGTCAGTCCTCATCCCTGGTTTAAGCACTGTCATGGGTTGAATTGTGTCCTCCAAAAAAATATGCCTGAGTTCTAACCCCTGGTACCTGGAATGTAATCTTATTTTGAAAGCGGGTATTTGCAGATGTAATTGAGAACCTCAGGATAAGACCATCTAAATTTAGGGCAGGTCCTAAATCCAATGACTAGTGTCCTTACAAGAGAAAGAAGAGGAAGATTTGACATCCAGAGACACAGGCACAGAGTAGCAAGGCAGAGTAGAATGCCATGTGAAGATGGAAACAGGGCCTGGAGTGATGCAGCCACAAGCCAAGAACACCTGGAGTCACTAGAGATGGAAGGGGCAAGTAAGAAGTTAAAGGCCAGGCGTGGTGGCTCACACCTGTAATCCTAGCACTTTGGGAGGCCGAGGTGGGTGGATCATCTGAGGTCAGGAGTTCAAGAAGTCTACCCTAGAGGGAGATGACCCTGTTGACACCTAGATTTTGAACTGCTGGCCTCCAGAACTGTGAGAGAATACATTTTTTGTTGTTATGGCAGCCCTAGGAAACTAGTACAGGTCCCAGCAGATCCTTGCTACCACTCAAGCCTGTAGTCAGCAGTGCAGTTAGGGAGAATATGGCTACACGGGCCACAGGTGGACCTGCAGGCAGGGTTGTGTGAGCATATCAGTTGATAGTACTTAGACATGTGGCACAAGGGCCTCCATTTGTGCTTTTGGCCTTGGCATGTTAGATATGAGCTTGCCCACTTGGCTGGCAGCCAGGCATGCCCCTTACACACAGAATAAATCAATCTAAGCCAAGAGAAAAGACCTATAGCTATGCACAGTCCTTGTTCTCCCTATGGAAAGGCCCAGCCAGGCCACCCTCCACTGAAGTCTGCCAGTCAACAAGCTTTCCCTGCTAGCAACGGCTTAACAGTGCTGTAGAGTCTCACCTTTGTGAGACAAGTGAACAATCAAAGATCACAAGATGTTTGAGACAGGAAAGAGTTCTGCAGCTATGATGACACCGAGCCTTAAAGAACATAGAAAAACAACCAGAAGCTCTTAGGAATTAAAAACAAGAAGACAGAAATAGAAAATCGAATGGAAAAATTGAAGATAAATTGAAGAACTCAGAAAGAATTTTAAAAAACCTCAAAAAGATGCAAAACAGGAGAGAAAATATAAGAATATTAGAGAATTGGGCCAGGAAATCTCCTCATATCCAAAAAAAAAAAAGGAGTTATAGAACCAGAGAAGGCGGGCCGGGCACGGTGGCTAAATCCTGTAATCCCAGCACTTTGGGAGGCCGGGGCGGGTGGATCACAAAGTCAAGAAATCGAGACCATCCTGGTCAACATGGTGAAACCCCGTCTCTACTAAAAATACAAAAAAATAGCTGGGCGTGGTGGCGTGTGCCTGTAATTCCAGCTACTCAGGAGGCTGAGGCAGGAGAATTACCTGAACCCGGGAGGCAGAGGTTGCGGCGAGCAGAGATCGCCCCATTGCACTCCAGCCGGGGTAACAAGAGCGAAACTCCATCTCAAAAAAAAAAAAGAACCAGAGAAGAAGATAACAGATGGCAGGAAGTTTAAAAGAAATTATAGAAGAAAATTTCGAAGGACTGGAAGATACCTGTTTTAAAAATAAAATACTCACCAAGTACCCAGCATGATGGATGAAAAGACCAATATCTTTGTACGTCTACATAAAGGAATCTATAAGATATATAAAATGATAACATAGATTCACATTTACTGACATAAAATGTTTTCATGACATATTAACAGAAAAAACATGCTTCAAAACAGTTGTGTATAATCTGAGCCTATTTATGTAAACATATAGTTACATAAAGAGACATCTGGAAGAAAAAAATCCAGAAGAATGGCTCCCAAAATGTTAACAGGAATGCCCCATGGATGGCGTTGCATCTTGGGTATTTACTTTCTTTCTTATACTTCCTTACATTAAGTGTATTCTACGTGAACACGTCACTAAAAAGAACAGTACAAAAGTAAGCTTGCCTCTGCCCTCTCTTTTATCCTTTTCCTTGTCTGATCAGTTGCCACCTCCTTTTTTTCCTGTCCCAGAACCATCATTTGTATCTACCTCTTATATCTTTCTTTTGGCTAGCTAAATCTGCGTGAGCTCCAGATGCTTCTGAATGCCCCCTACGTTGCTCGACTTGGGAATCTCTCTCTCACATATGTGAATTAACCTGTCCTAAAGTAAACATACTTGTTTCCCCCCAAGCTGCTCCCACTTCATTGTCCCTGTCTCAGTTAATAGCATCCTGTCCTATCTATCGAATTGCCCAAAGCAGAAAAGCCTGAGGCATCATCCCTGCCCCTAACCAACCCTGTACCTCCAACCTACTACTCTCCTGTTGACCCTACCTATAAATGCCTCACAAACATGCCCCCTTCTCTCCACCCCTGTGGCTTTTATACCATTCATTTTTTCATTCATTCAGCAAATATGGAGTGGTGCCTCCCCCATGCCAGCCACTGGCTTAAGAGCCGGCATTCACAGGTGAGAAAGACAGACAAGGTGCCTGTCCTCATGAATAGGGCCATGTGTTCTAGAGGAAATGATGCACAATAAACAAGCAAACAAAACCGCTGCCGAAGGAAGTAAACTCTAGGAAGAAAATAGAATGTGTGATAAAGAATAACCAGCATCAGGGAAGGGTTGTCACCCTTTAGATAGGGTGGCAAGGTGGGGATGAGGTAGAGGCCAGCATGCAGGGTGTCCCCCTCCTCTGAAGCCCTTGCCTTCACTCTCTTCCCCCTTCAAACACTAAGAGTGCTCCCATTAAAGGTAGACTGATCCTATTATTGTCTTCCTGCCTGAAATCCAACATGGCTCACAAGACCTTGTATCCCATTTCAGCCTCCCCTCTCTCTCTACTGCCCCTGCATGCCCTCTGCTTCCAGCCTCCAAGCTGGGTTGCCTCATTGCTGCCCACCCTTGGGTCCCACTTACTCCAGGACACCCTTTCAGTGAGGTCCCTCCCAGGATATCTACTGATCTTGAACATTTTTACCAGACTGTATTGGTGATGACTCACTTACTTACCTGAATCTGTAGGGGGCCAGGGCTGGCCTCATCCCCCCACTGAATCCCCATGTCTGGCACATGGCACGCTCATTGTATTTGGAGACTGCCACCCCTCGTGGAATTGGCTCTCATCATTTCTCACCTGAACTGGGGCCTCCAAACTGATTTCCCCACTTTCAACTCTTCCCTTACAATATCCACCTGTTAGAAAAATCTGTCTACAACAAGTGGGAAAACCATAACAATGAACTCAGAAACTACGATGTCCCTGGGCCACATGTGAGTGCCAGGTAGGAATGTTAGTTTGGAGGGGTGTATTCATTGGTGGGGAATTCATGTCACAAGGCAAGGCTGCATGACTGTGGATGGAGAGGAGGGGCTGTGCATGGTTTACCCCAAGGAGAGAGCAGTTTTGGGGGGAGTGGTGGGTCCTCTCAGCTCTCAGGAGAAATCAGAGCCTGGAAAGCAAGCCTTAGACAAGCAGAAGAGGGAACTCCTAAACCCATACTCTCTGCTCTCTTACACTCCAATTTTAAGGAGTTTCAAGCATGCCCAAGAAGTAGCAGACTCAAAAGACCCTAGGGGTTGTAGCTGGGCAGGTGGAGGATGGAGAATAGGGAGATGGTGTTTGTCGCTGGAGTTCGGGTCCCACATCATGAGATTGTGTGTTACTGTTCATTTATTCATTCAATAGATATTTATTGAGGCCTTGTCATTTGCCGAGACTGTTCTAGGTCCTGGAAATACAAGAGCAAGCAAGGCAGACCACCTGGCTGCTCTGCTGGAGCTTTTGTGCCTGAAGGAGGTTCTTAGACAATCCAATACACACACAGACATACTTCAGGTAGCTATAAGGGTGGTGAAGGAAAATAAAAGAGGGTGAGGTTCACACTAAAGGGATGCTATCAGATACAGGCTGGTTACTATCTCTACTTTTCCTTTCTTATCCCCAGCTCTAGTAAAGTCAAGAAACTAGCACTTCTTGAACTTTGATGTGCAAATGAATCACCCTGGGGTCTAGTTAAAATGCAGATTACGATTTAGTGGGTCTGGTGTGGGAACTGAGACTCTGCATTTTTAACAGGCTCCCAGATGATGCCTTGGCTGCTGGGTCCTGGACCACGCTATCTTGTTGTGAGGGATTAAGGGAAAAGCTGTGAGTCCCTCCTAGGGCAGCCTTAACAGAGAGGCAGAACCTCCTGAAGGCAGCAAACCAGGCAGTGATGCCAGCCTTAAGAAGAGCAAACATCAGCAGCAAATTCACCAGTGCTAGGTCCTCTGACCCTGCTGCCATGCATTGATCAATTCAGAACCCCCCTTTGGATAATTTGGATTTGAAACCAGCAGAAAGTCATTGAGTGTCACTATAAATTTCCCCATTTTGTGGTACACAAGCCCCTCCACAGCCTAGCCCACCCTTATTTTTTGCTATAAGCATTCCTGATCCCTAGGTTTCTGCCAGAAAGAGTGGACAGTCCCCTCTCTTTGCCTTTTCCCATGGCCATCCATCCCAACTTAAAAAAAATCTCCAAGCCATTTGGTACTGCTGTTGCCTCCATCTAGAATTCTCTGGTCCAGGCGGTCAGATCCTGTCCGTTCCCCAACACCCGGCTCGAACGCCACGCCCTCACGGGTTGGAGGAGAATGGGGGAAGTCAGTCAGGAGCAATCCCTTCTCAGAAATCCTGCAGCTCTTCGCCTGAACTTATTTTGGGACAATAATCTCTTCCTACCTGCTATATGAGTGATCTTTGTTGTTAAGAGTTGTTTTTGCCCTTAAGAGTTACTTTTGTCCTCGTTTTATGGATGGGATTCATGTTCCTCCAGGTAAGACCAACCCTCCCCCACCCCAAACCCTCCTGGTACCTTGATGTAGCCTAAGTATTGTCTTACGAATAAAGAATACATTAAGTTTGGGTCTGCAATCGACGTCAGCAGGAGCGGAAATGGACTAGGCTAAGCGCCAGGCGCCAGTTAGACAAGCTAACGATCAGGCCACCTTCTAGACGTCCTGAACCAGAAACCCTGGGGCATAGCTCAGCAGTCTGCGTGGTAACCCGGCCTCCGAGTCATTCTGATTATGCTCGAGTTGGAAAGCCAGGGCGGTCTAACCAAGCGCCTGGAGCACACCCCTTCCCCTCCCTCGCTGCCCACGACCTAGACCCTGGGCCCTGGGGGCTTCTGCCGAGGAGGAAGGAGGGTACACAGGTGGTCACCAAGGAGGGCGGGAGTGGAAGGGGTGAGCCAGGAAGAGAAAGTTCGAGGATTCCAGGAGAGGGATGGAGCGAAAGCAGAGGATAGGAAGGAAGAAAGGAAGGTAGCCGGGAGGGACAGAGACGGGAGGAAGGGAGTGGAGGAGGGGCTGGCACCCCTCAAGGTGGCATCTTCCAGAAGGTCATTCGTCTCCACGTCCTTCCAGGGTCTGTTCTCCCTGGTGGGGCCAGGGGTCTTGGAGACCAGTCTGTGAAGCCTGCCCGGCCCCAGCGTGAGCCCCGGGACCCCAGCCGGGCGCCCCGCCCCGCCCGCGCCCCCGCGTCCCTGCGCCCCCGCGCCGCGGGTACCTGCTCTTGCTGCGGGGGCGCCTCCAGCACCGGCGCCGCCTTCCGCGCGGCCGCCCCTGCGGCCATGCCTGCACCGCGATGCCTTCTCCCGCGCACAGCGCCGGCTAGAAAGGGTCCCCCGGAGTCCGCAGAAGGGGCGCCGCGGGGCAGCTGGGCCGCGGGAGCCGGGGGATGGGGGGGGTGGCTGGGAGTGAGGCCTGCGGCGGTGGCGGAGCGGCTGCCGGTCCCGGGCTGTGCTGGGCCGGAGCTGGGAACCTCCAGGCGCGCCCGCCTCAGCCCCCTGCACGCGGGCCGGTCTCCTCTCCAGCAGCGGCCTAGAGGTCCGGGTCGCCAGCGGCCCCGGCTCCTTCAGGGCCTCAGGCCTCACTGTAGGGAAGCCATTCAGCCAGCCATCGGCGTCGCCAATAAAGCGTCCTGAGCGTGTGTCGGGAACCAGTGGTTTTGTTACTAGGCGGCAGAAGTGGAGGAGGGGTCAGAGGTGGGGTGAGAGAGAGCGGAGTAGAGGAGTGAGAAATGGCCAGGGTGGGGTGACGGGAAGGGGGAGAATGGGGAGGACTGTGAGGGGGCAGAGGGAGAAGGAGGGTTTCCTCCGCTGTCGCTCAGCGGTGTTTATTAGGAGGCAGGAGTTTGGTGGCTGTGCAGATGCTGAGACCCTGAGCCTCCATGGCACCCCTAGCCTACTTCCATACCCTGGGCTCACTGCCCCTTCTTTCCTCAGTTATCTGTGCTTCCTCCAAAGATGGCAAAGGAGAGAAACTCCAGTCTAGGGAGAGCGCAGACCCTCGTGGCCCCTATGCCGCTACAGGCCATGCAAGACTTTGCCCCTCTACCTCCAGGGGCTCTCCTCCTCCTTTACAGCTTAGGCCTAAACCTGGCTTCAAGATTGAGAACAAGTTGGAACGTTTAGGCAAGCCTTTCGAAATACGTGGGTGTTGATTTAGGGAAACAGCAAAGAGGAGCACAGAATTAGATCATGTGTCCAACGAAATATGGCTTAACCCATATTTAAATATCTCAGTTCGTGATCGCTCGTAGTTTCAACACCTACAAAAGAGATGAACCAATTAAGATGGATGAAACCATCACGGGGTAGAGACAAACAAGCATGGAAGTACAACTTATCAAGGATGATGCCTTGGTTTTCCAGCCTTAGCTGGGCATCAGAATACCATGGAAGACTGTTGAGTTTTTTAAAACTCAGTTTGCTGATCAAGCACACTAGCTGACACCTTTAATCACAGCACTTGGGGAGGACGAGGCTGGCGGATTATTGAGCCCAGGAGTTTGATACCAGCCTAGGCAATATGGCGAAACCCCATCTCTATAAAATATACAAAAACGGGGACGTCGCGGTGGCTCATGCTTGTAATCCCAGCATTTTGGGAGGCCGAGGCAGGTAGATTACAAAGTCAGGAGGTCGAGACTGGCCTGGGCAACATAGTGAAAGCCCATCTCTACTAAAAACACAAAATTAGCTGGGCATGGTGGTGGGCATCTGTAATCTTAGCTACTCGGGAGGCTGAGGCAGGAGAATCGCTTGAACCCGGAAGGTAGAGGTTGCAATGAGCCAATTTCATGCCACTGCACTCCAGCCTGAGCAACAAAGTTAGACTCCATCTCAAAAAAAATGCTCAGTGTGGTACACCTGTAGTCCTATAGTCCCAGCTATTCAGGAGGTTGAGGTGGGAGGATCTCTGGAGCCTGGGAGGTCCAGGCTGCAGTGAGCTGTGATGCAACCACTGCACTTCAGCCTGTGCAACAGAGCAAGACTCTTATCAAAAAACAAAACAAAACAAAAATCTTCAGATTCCTGGGATTGAGCCCTCGAGTTTCTAATATAGTAGGTGTAGGGTGGGGCCTGAGCATTTGTCTTTCCAACAAGTTTTCAGGTGCTGCTGCGGCTGCATCAGTTGTCTACATCAGAAGGCTACCTTGTAGCATGATCAGAGTGTGCTGGAAAGAGTGTCTGAGATGGAGAGAACTTGGGATGCAAGGGCCCAGAAGCTGGAGAAGCCATGATGAATTAAAGAAATAAAAATCATGGTTAACATTGATAGAATGCTTACTGTGGGAAGTAGAAAAGTTCCTCTTCAAAGTTTCCTTTCTTGTTAAATAATAAATCAAAAGCGTTAGAAATAGCTTGTTTTAAACACTTTCTTCAAAGCTGTCTTGCTTTTTGTTAATAACTCTTTGTTAAGCTCTATCCTATGTAGCTGTTAGGCATGCTCACAGGCAGGTAGTACGTTCTATGTTCTTATACTTTAACCAAGATATTTATGCTATTGCTTTTCTAACTCCTTTGGCAAGCAACTTCCTATCCCTTCCTTATTTGGATTTCCTCTTTTCCTTTTGTTCTCCATTGCCTTTACCTATTCAAGAAAATTTTCAGTTATTAGCCAATTGGGTTCGGTTTTAGACTGTGAGGTCTGGCTCCCACCAACGAAGATCAGACACAGTGGATGACCCCATATGCTTAAGGAATAAATACGTCTGCTTTTCCTTTGTTCGTTGTACTCTTGTGGCAAGACTGCTGGCAAGGGTGCTCTTTCTGAAGGAAGTAAAGATTGCCTTGCTGCAAGATCCTTCGTCTCAGTGCTGACTTTTCTTTGCAGCCCTGAAAATTTACATATAACACTTAGCATGTGCCAGGGGCTGTCCTGAGCACTCTACCTGCGTTAGTTCATTCAGTCTTCCTGACAACCCTGTGAGGTGGGCATTGTGGCTGCCTCCGTTTTACACAGGAAAGCGCCGAAGCACAGAGAGGTCCAGAAGTTTGTTCAAGTTTTGAAGCTAGTAGGTGAGGCAGTGGGAATTTGAACGCAGAGAAAACTGACTTCATGGTCTGGGTTCTTAGTCTCTCAGGGAAGTAGTTGTGAAGGTCAGCAAGGGCTGGATCCATCAGATCCACATAAATCATATTAAACAGTTTGGACTGCAGCCTCAGGAGAATGGGAATCCATTACCGAGTTTTAAGCCAGAAAATGACATCACCAGACTTGCCTTTTGGCTTCAAGAATGGGGAGGAGGGCTGTGACTATAACTCAAGACAGAAAGACCAGTCAGAAAGCTATTGCTGCAGTTTCAGCTCTAAAGATGACAATGGCCTTGGTGGTGAGAGTGAGTGTGTGCAGGGACGGAGTGGAGGGGAGATGGAGAGATGTGTTTGGGGATGGGAGATCTAGGTAGTAGAATCTATTGTACCTGACTGATCTCCAAGGATGGTGCCCAGGCATGCAGCTTGGGCAGTGTAGCATTTGGGCAGACAGTGCTGCGATGGCTGAGAATGGGGATATTGAAAGAACAGCAGATTTGGGGAGACAAAAATAGTGGGTTCATTTGGACATGTGTTACATCTCTACCTATCCTGTGGCCTGCCTTCATGTGGCAAAAGCCATTTTTTTTCTCTCCAACCTAGGATATTTTCACATTCATCTGGATTCTTTCAAGGCAGCAAAATAATAAAATGAAAATGGTCCAAATGGAAATGGATGTTCTCTTTCTAGAAAATTCCAACCTGCTTTTATTATATAAGTTTTAGGTCCCTGATTTGAAACTCTCCTGATTGGTTGGTACCAAAAAGACCTACATACTTCACTGGAGACCCATGTATGCCTAAAGGGATCACCTTCCTTCTAGCTTCAGCTCAGTAATCACAACAGAATAAAATTCAAAAAGTGCATTTCTCCCCCGCCAGTAATGATGGCTTTGCTCTGATCTGTCCTCCTCTTATACCTGGTTTCTTCAATGATCAAATTGCAGATATTCAGAACGAAGATCTCATTTCCTAGTAAGTTAGGCAATGAATGTTTTCTGGAGTAGTTCACTGAACCAAGGTTAATTAATTTGAAATGTTGTTTTCCAAATTCAATGGTTGGCAGTTGACTCCATCTTCGTCCTGAAATAGATGAACTGTATCCTGCTGCTTGACAGTAACTCTTTGGCATTTTAGCTGTAGTCTGTATATCCTTCCTCATGTCCTGCAGTCTAGAGTCCTGAAGTGGTTGTAATGATGCAATGGAAGAAATTAGCTAATGTGGTAAATGTGTTTGAGAAATAAAGTGGGGTCAAGAATCACTAGTCAGTTGATCGTGATATTTAGTGCAGGAATCAACAAATAGACTCAATGAATAGAATAGAAAGACTCCAAATGGGTGCCTGCATTTTTGGAAGTCTAGTTTTATGAGAGGGGTGGCAAATCGGCAGAAAAAAACTGATTATTTAGTAATTGGTTTATCCATAAGAAAAAATATTGTACCATACCAACAC